AGTGAGACGACAGGGGGCGGATCAATCAGTCATGTGATCGTCCTCTGATCATGATCGCCATGATCGTCATCCCTCATGATCGTCCTCTGTTACATGTGGGTTTGCGCTAGATCTACGGAAACCTCACAGGAAAAAAAAAACAGGATGCAATTATTACTGCATTTGTGCGTCGCAGTTACAACCTTCAAAAACACAACCACGATGGGTGTTTCAATCAGCTTTGTTATTTTGAAATCACTTGAAGATCACTTATGCACCTAGCCTACGAAAGTTTGACAATTCAACTCGCGAGTTCATACTCCAAAATAAATGACCGCTTTCGCTTTTCGAGTGGTCTAGAGACACGACATCATTGATGTGTCTGAAAATTGACACTTCTCCTCCATTTTCCACCAAGGGTTAATTAAATAACACTTAATTGTTTGAAAATGAGGTATTTAACCTCTGCATTATTAAAATATGGTAAAATCTGCGACTAGTAGTTTTATGAAAAATAACGAAATCTTTTTATGAACACTTTTACAGAAGTATAAATGCTCTTACGGAGACAAACATGTTGAGTTAAATCTGTTTTATCTACAGTACAAAGAGTATAAATCAGCCTGAATAAGCTTTGTTAAGCAGAATAGACATGACATGCCTGTCGTAAGCGACCGAGATTGAGAGATCATAATAGAGATCATAGCTATTGACAACGTGCCTCTTCTCAGCGATTTTAATGCCGAATAAACATTTTATGAAATATTGCTGAGCTAGAAAATCATAGCCAAAACCGACAAATAATTGTAAACGAGCCGTTTTTTTTTAACAGGATTATTCTGTTTGGTGTGTTTACTGAACGATGCGGGCTTGCTTATGGGAAGAAAACATGACTTTCTTCTTTTTTAATCACTTTATTTTTTTAAATATTCAACAGCAGTGAAATGTCGATTATATGTTGAATCCTCTTTTGATTTAGGTCTAATGTATTTTTTAGAAGTATAGCAAAATGTTTAATTTCCAAAAAATATGTTTACTTAATTTTAGTCTGTTGTCATCGTGGCTAATATTCTTGATTCGTGAAACGCCAAAGGCAACCGTAAGGAGAATGAAGCTAATTCTGCACCCTTGAATATCAACTGAACTACTGCACAGCTCTTGTTTTAGCATTTTAAACGGTACAGGGCGAGTACAGGAACTGTCAATGTTCGATTTTATCAACCACCGTAAAAGTCTGACCTCAGACATAACAACAACAAGCGAACAACAAATCAAAATGCTGGGATTTGGTAACGAAGGTCATATGAAAATTTGGCTCAACTCTCACGTCATTCTCTCGAGAGAAGGGAAAATACACCTCTAAGAATAAATATGTACTACACAGCTCATTTTGCGTGTGATTGAAGGCGAAAAATTCAAATTGTGTAGGTTGAGAAATTAAGCATTATTTCAAATGCAAAATTTCACAGTCTAGCCACAGGAGGGGTGGTGAATGCTGAAATCCAAGACTCGTGAGACGCTGAAAATTCGAAACCGAGAACTCTACAGTTATTACCATCACTTCATTCGGATTCTTGTGTGGTACCGTAATAAATAAGGGCAAAGATATTACATCAGAGTTGAGACATTCCCTATGCGTTCCTTTTAGCGATATACACCTTTTACACCGCATTAATCATGCATAATCGAAGGTGATCATACATAGAGGCGTGAGAGACATGAAGACTTATCGCAAAGGTCAATGAGGTTTCAAAATAGGATAACAGTTTAGGTGGATCGCACGATTTTTCAGGTACCATTTGCTAACACTGATACGATTAGATTAGATAGTTATGTAAATTTGTGTCTGAATAGTAGAAATAACGCAATGAAGTAGAGCAAGTTGGACAAATAGCAGCTTAAGTTTATCAGAACTTAAATCTTTTTTGATTATCGATGTCTGAAAGCATGATTCGACCAAAACTATTGACTAGCAATGCTATACAAGGTCTTTACCAAAGACTTGCAATAATTCTTGTTAACGACGTACAGTTCACCGTGACGATTTACGAAGGGAGAAAGTAAGCTTACTCGGCATGAATTGCAGATGACGAAACAGGAAAAAATGCCGATCTTGAGCACATTCGTAAAAAGCTTTTAAAAAAGATAGCTTCTGACCGACTATGATTCAAAATCACTGTGTTTGATATTGAGGGAAAACTCTTCAGAGTCTTAAGGTGTAATGTTACTTTCTGCAAACTACTCATTTTGCCACCAGCCGTGATATTTACTGCCTGAAATCTCCAGCTCTATCCCTATTCCCCGCCAAGAAACACGCAAACTGAAGCTTTTGCAGGCTTGGTAATAAATGATGATCAAACCTTTGACAGGTAAGGTAAACCTTTTGCCATTTATGGCATACACATACCAAAACACAAGGCTTGATTTCGTGACAATTTGACTCTTACGCTACAGTCTCGAGAGTTGCTTTTTGACAATTTAGTTAAAGCTGTCCTCTGCTTGTGGTAATTCACCACGATATTGGTGCCTTGGTCCTACTTTAGTTCGAATTGCACCAGGTTATGACTCCTGATCACACCAAGTAATAGTACTAGATGCTTACGCAGCACAAAAAGCAGTCTTCGATTTTATTTAAGCGATGACATATGCGAGTGGGCGGACCACGCAATCGTGACCCATCCGGTGTCACATTTCTTAGATGTTTATCTATCTCGATAGCTCGTCTCTCTAAATTGAAAGACTGTTAAAATTTGTGCTTGTGTCCGTTTTCAACCTAGTATCTAACCACAAAGAAAATTTCAATCAGATTTGTTATGTTGAAATCACTTCAAAGTCAATGATGACTGATGATGCAATTCACGATATCTCAATTTCCGCAAGCGACACCTTTCTAGAAGGTCTCAGAGAAGTAACTGAAACGTGACATCATCGGTTTGTTAGAAACTAGGCCTACATGCAAAGTTTTTAGAAGTTTCCAGTCCATGGACTTGAACAACAAGTTCACACATCTCAACGGAGATCTTTGATCAAGAACACATATTTGCATGTATCGCCAAAACAACCATAAAAAACTCATTACTGCCTAAGAATTGATCACTAAGAAGGAACTTTTCAATTAAGTGTCGTGAAATCAAAAGCAAACGAATCACAGCGGCCAATCAAACAACTTTAATTTAAACGTTATAAGAAACCTGTGGGAGAACTAAAAGTCTGTAAACGCATGAGAGTTGCTTCATGCTCCTGGAAAAATTCCTTTACTGAATTAAGTCGCGATTGGTGTCAGTTTTGCATCTGGTTATGTGTGGTGTGAATTTCTCGACGGCGCAATATGAAATATAAACAAGCGATGTTACTTCGACACTCGATTGAAAAGTAATTAATCTGACTAAGACAAGTTTCACACTTCAGCGGGTCACATACAGGATGACTTCAGAGCAT